CATGGAGAGCCAGCTCTGTGAGCCAGAACCTCCCTCCGCACCCCCAGAGCCCTGCCTGGTTCCTACAGTGCTCCAGCTGGGAAAGCCCTGCTTGGAGCTGGAGCACATAGCACTTTCATCCCTCCTAGTGTCTTTCCCATAGTTGAATGAACAATTAAAACTACATATTTATGTTATTTTTAAAGAACAAGGAATAGGAAAAGAAAAATCTCATTTTTGTGCCTATAAAAAATTCTATAAACCCCAACTCTTTGAGGCCTTTCTTGATATATATAGAAGCTACATTATAAAAATACATAAAAAGGAGGAATAAAATAAGTTCTGTTAGACCAGGGCAAGTTATAATTTTTTTTCCCCCTCAAACTTAGCAGATCTAATCTGAGTCTAGAGCTAAGTATCCCGGGCTAGGAATTCTGATTTGCAGTTGTTATTGCCTTGCCTGATGGTTTTGGCCCACATAGTAAGAGTATTCTGTCAATATGGGTACTTTAAAAACTTTTAAATATTAAATGTTTTAATTCTTTAAAATGTCTTAGGTTGCTAGGTGGGTAGAGGGGAGCCCTCCTGGACACCGCAGAGGGTGTTCAGGGACCGAGCACCCTGAGCTGTTCTGTGCCCTCCCAGCTGGGCCAGGCTGCTTGAGCAAGTTCGCTTGTTGAGGCAGGTCAGTGAGACCTTGGAGCCCCAGCAAGCCCTCTTTCATGGGAACAGGTTGTTACTGCCCTGCTTCTTCCCACACAAGTGTCTGTCTGCATCAGGCCAGCCCTGCACACCAGCTGAGGCCTGTTCCTGGGTGTGCGGGAAGCAGCCCCCACCTCAGTGGAGGAGTCTGTACAGTGCCCACACTGGCTGCACATGGCTGGTCTGCACTCGGTTATTGCAGTCCTCTGATGTTCACTTTCTTCCCCCTCAGCAACGTCCCAGGGAAAAAGATGAGTGCTCAGAGATGGAGTAGTTGTAGGCTGCTTGAAAGAGTTGTTTCCAGTCCTGTTTAAAAGCCTCTTTGCACCTCTGCCACTTTATTTCCATCCGTTCAGTATAACTTATTGAGCACCTGCTGGGCTCCACCAGAACACAAGCCCCTGAAAGCAGGCCTTCGTAGCTCAGCAGTTACTTAGCACATTGTGGGAGATGCCCGGGGAGCATTTATGCAGGGTGCTGGCAAGAGTGTCAAGTTGAGCCTGGGAAGGCTGGAGGTGCTCGTGGGTGACACTGGGTGGCCTCCTCCACAGTTTGATCTTGCCTGGCAGGTGTTTTCTGGGGTGAGAAGCCATCTGGAATGTTGAAGCAGCATTATGACCTGCTCAGATTTGGGTTTCTAAAGGTAGGTGGGGCAGAAGGGTTTAGGGAAAGGAGAGACCTGGGTCCACAGGAAGGCAGTGGCAGTAGCAGTGGCAGGAGGTGTTAGTAGGTGGTCTGGAGGGGGTGGGGTTGGCAGGACTGGTGGCTGGAAGGGCATGGGACACACAGGAGCAGGTCTGGGAAGACAGCCTTCTAGCTTGCCCAGTTGGGTGGGTGGGGCTGCCCTCCAGCTGAGCCTCTGCAGGCTGAGGAGGCAGACTGCAAGGCCGCTCTGGATGTTTGTGGATTCCCAGATTTCAGGGAGAACATACTTGGCAACTGTAGGAAGGAGGGAACTGAAATTCAAGAAGGAGTGCTGGCTGGGGAGGCGTTCTCAGGTGGGGGTGGATGAACATGTTCCAGGGCATTTTGTAGAACAATGTTTTTTTCCAGCTTCTTTTAGCAGCAGAACCTCTCCCAAAGGTCCCTTAGGTGCTGGCAGAACTGGAGCAGAGAAATATAGATGGATACGTAATAGCCTCTGTTGTCTAGGGTGGGAGGGATAAGCATTGGTGTCCACGGTCATGGGTGATGTACGTCAGTACAGTTTTTTCAGATGGCATTTTGGTAATATCTGTCAAAAATTTAAATATACATAACTCAGACTTCCCACTTCTAACACAGACTTCCCACTTCTAACATTATCTTGCCAAAATACTTGTACAAGTACATAAAGATATGCCATTCTGATAAATTGTAAACATTCCAAATGCCCATCAACAGCTGTATCATTTAGTTGTATAATTGTATATGCATTAACATGGAAAGACATCCAAGGTACATTGTTAGGTGAAAAAAGCAAGAATCAGAACCATGTATGGTTGCATTTCTATCAAAGCAAATAAAAGTATGTGTGTATTTGTATGATATTGTGCATTTCAAAGCAATCTAAAACAGTATACACCACATGTTAACACAGGTTATCTCTGGGACATAGGATTAAAGGGACTTTCCTATTCTGAGCCTTGGGTGTCTGTCATTTTGAGTTTTTTTCCCTGAAGCACCTATTACTGTCATTAACAATTTTAGGAAGATGAAAGCCACTGGAGTGAACACGGCAGGAAGAGAGATGGTGGGCAGAGGAGAGGACTGAGAAGGACTGGTCCCAGGATGGGTCAGCTGGAACAGAGTGGGGGCATGAGGCTGAGGGGGATGGAAGTTTTGAGGAGGAAGAAATGGGAAACCGAGGCCAGCTTCAGTGGATCCAGTGGGTTCCTTTTGCTTCAAAGTTACCAGTGGACACTCTGTGCTTAGTTGTTGCCAGTTTGCATCCACACTAAAGCACTACACTTTAAAAAAGAAAAAGGACAAAGTTGGAGCATGGTTCTTAGAGTTACCCACCTAAACCTAATGTTGTTTGCCCGTGATCTGGTGATATATATATGAATGTTTGCATCGTCAGCTGGAAGGATGCTCTGAGTATCACAAATAGCAATAGTATTTTTGTCCGCTCTTTAAAAAAACAAGAGTGCTCTAACTTGTCCTTGTTTGTAGGATTTTCATCCTCTTGACCTAGTCGCCTTTTTTTTTTTTCTTTCTAAAGGTGGATGATGACTCATGTTGAACACAAAGGCAGGCCCATTTAGAGCTTTCTGCTTGTATTCACTCAATATCTGGTTCTGTCCCCTTTCTTTGGCTTGAATATTTCATAGTCATCCTTGCTTAGCAGGTGCCTACTTGGTTCCAGCCAGTTTCTGAGTAGCGTGTTTTCCTCGCCCCAGGAGGAAATAAACAGTGAGCTGTTTATCTTCACCAAGTAGGGCAGTTAGGAGCTTGCAGAGGGGCCTACTTGTGGGCTGCGTGGCCCCCTTTCAGCTCAACTTCCCTCCAGGCGGCTTTTCATATGACTTCTTATTCATTATCTGAAGACCAGCTTCTTTCCTGAAACTTCACCAGGTAAAGAATGAAAAACTCTTGAGATTTGGGGGTTTTCAGAAATGAGCATCCTAAACACAGCCCACTTTTTACTTTCAGAATTAAATTTTCGTTTGGGCCAGGTTATATTTGTTTCATGAAACGGATCGTCATAGCTTTCTTCCAAATTTTTATTTTATGTAATTAATCTGTTTTTACCATGTCCTGTCAGACTCATGTGATATGAATCAGTTCTCTTAAAACTATATTTTAATTTCAAAACTTCCTTGGGACCTAAATGTGTAACAGTGTGTTAACACATATGCCATCCAAGTACAATGATTTCAGTCCAGATGGTTTCTGTCCAGATTTTGGATCTGAGCTGAGACTTAAAAGAATTAAAATAAAAGATGCTCTTTGTTTGCTTCCTTCCAAACAAATTGCATTTCTCATTAATACCAGTACTGCTCCCTAGAAACTGAGATAAGGTATACCTTAACTCTATCTCTAAATTCAGAGCATCCGATGACAACAAGAATTGTTTGGCTGGCCTTCCATTCCCTAGAATGAATGATTGGTTCTCCACATCCTGCCTCTTGAGTTTAGAGCTGTTGATAAATATGAGCAGGCCCTGGTGGCCATCTACTTTGCAAGGTGTGAAACATAACTGATGGATCGCCAGGAAAGATGGATATTCTGTCTGCGTAAGCAGGGAAACGATGAATAATAAATATGAATTGGCACCATCTGGGTTGAAATTTCCCACTGGGGATGAATGTTATTAAAAAAATGTGATCATTGACAGTTCTTCTTCCTTCTTACACCTCAATGGCTTACTTCTACAACAGCTTAACAAATTGGCTTGGTTTTAGTCTCAACTGCTTGTTTTCAAAAGCTCATCTACTTACTAACTTCTAAAAAATGTGTAGGAGCAACTGGCAGGACATTTCTTTGATCTTAGGTGAGGATTTTTGTCTTTTGTTTTTAATTTAGTAGTGACAGGGGAGTGTGGATCTCTGCACAGCTAATAATAGCTTTGAGATAAAGGGAATGATATGCCTTTAACATGAGCTTGACCCGAAGGCAAGGAGTTTACCAGACATGGTAGGAGAAACCTGTCCCTGCTGAAAAACTTCCTATAGCTTATAACTTATGTAAAATTTATTAACAGCTCTGTGGAAATTAGTCTTTATGTTAACAGGTTCAAGCAGGCATCAAAACCTCAGCTAAAATTAGCTCTTGCTAGTGGTAAAGTCTCCTGATTGGCCTGGAAAAGGCTCAGATTAGACAAAATGTTCTATTTCAGCAAGTCTTGTTTGGCATTTGTCACCTGATATTGGTAATGGTTTGCTTATTCAACACACATTAATGAACTTATTTGCCAAGCATTCATTTTTTCGACAAATATTTGTTGAGTGTCTGCAGTGTCCTGTGCACTAGGCCACAGATGAGGAGATGGCTGTGACCAGGCAGACACCGTCCCTGCCCTCATGGTGCTGACAGTTGACTGAGGTGCAAAGAGCAGAAGCATCAAGTGGCTTCGAGGGGGAAGCGGGGACACTTTTTTTTTCTTTTTTTTTTTTTTGAGCCTGGCCAAGGGGGCACTTTTACTGCCTGGCTTACGGCTCAGTAAGAAAGAACCAGTCCCTGCCTTCTGGGAGCCCACAGCCTAGTCAGGGGACAGATACATAAAGCATAGTGTTCTAAAACATTGTAGGAATGACAGGCAGCTCTTTGTGTGCAGAGCAGGGAAGCAGGCATGGATCTGAGCTGTGAATACTAACAACTGCCCTCTGCCCCTGCAGCATGGACAAGGACAGCCCGGATGTCCACCAGGACCTGAACGCCCTCAAAACCAAGTTCCAGGAGATGCGGAAGCTCATCAGCACCATGCCTGGCATCCACCTGAGCCCTGAGCAGCAGCAGCAACAGCTGCATAGCCTTCGGGAGCAAGTCAGGACCAAGAATGAACTTCTGCAGAAGTACAAGAGTCTCTGCATGTTTGAAATCCCCAAGGAGTAGAATGAAACCGACTTCCAGGAATGCCGCACTAGGAAGGAGGAAAGCAAGTGGCCTGTTTCCCCGCCATACTCTTGAAGCTCAGTCCCTTCAGACCCCAGCTCTGAACTGTGTAGCCAAGTGGGGCTGTTGTACTGCTCCAAGAACTGAGTTTGGCACTGACTATGTGGGGAGCCAGCATGCGAGCTTGGCTTTGCTGGGGCTTCCTTGTATGTATATATGTCTAGATGCAAAATAACTTGAGTGCCTGCTGGTGGAAGTAAGAATATTCCTGCAGGCTTGGGGGGTGGGGAGGACTCCCCTGCCTCTGAGGAGGGGGCCATCTGCTGTGTGTTGGACCCCACTGGCAGATCTGAAGACACAGCAGGGAGAGAGGGGGCTCCTTTCTTCTTTTCCTCCTGCTCCTCTCCACTCACCCCTTAGGATCAGTGTGTATCAGGTACATATTGTTCTTCTTGACAGCAGTTTCATGACATGTTTGCATATGGCATGGATTTAATGTGCTAAAAAAAAGGCTGTGAGAGAATGAACATTGTTTTGAAAGGCCAGAGGGAGGCTTTTTCCTCCAAAACAGTTTTGGTTCCATTTATGGTTGAGCCAGTGAACAGAACAGTATCTGTGGGCGTGTCAGCCCAGAGCCCTGCCAGGCAGCCCTTGTCTCCAAGTTCTCTGCTTCCTACGTGTTCTCCTTACATTTAGCTCTTGCTCCCTTTGTCTTCTGTCACCTTCAGTTAGTGCCCCAGAATGGCCAAGACACTTCACACCCTCATTGCTTCCCCAGATTAGAGAGGTGCTGTCCTTTCTATGCAGGCTCAAACAGGTTTTCAGGCGAGCAGATCTTCTGGCATTTCAGATTCACATTGCTCTGGTTTAAAAAATTATCTCCCCCTCTGGCCTTCTCACTGAAGAATCGACAACATTTACTGCACTGCAAACAAAGGGGTTCACGATGCACCTTTTGTTCAGAGGACGGCAGCTTGAGTGGTCCCTCAGCGAGGGTTAGCTGGTCCTAGAAGTTGTGCATCCAGGTTCTAGTTCTTAAATGTTTATGAGCAACCCTCATTTTCCCCAGCACCACTGATTTCTTCCAGATGGGACATTTTATGTGTGTACTCTTGCCTGGGCCGTCAAATGAGGTCAGAGCGGTTCTCTCCCCTGCCTCTTACGGATGAGGTGAGAAGTAACTGAATATTGTTTGGATTTAGAAATGGGCACATAACCTGTGCTGACCAGTTCAGGGACTTAGCAGATGCCTGCCAGCTGACCTCGTTGGCAGAAGTAGTGGTTGGAGGTGTTTTGTAGGGGTTCCAGTAGTGTTGGCCTGCAGCCACCTGTCAGAAGATGGCTGGCATGTTGGAAACCTAGGGGTGTGTGAAGGAGGATATTGGATTTCAGTGGCTTTGGACAGAAAGGCAGGTTCTGAATTTAAGCTGCAGTTGCCTATTAGACCTGTTCTACATTGGGAATGTTATTTAACTGAATCAGTTATTTTCTTGGAATTTCAGTGTAGTGGCTGGGCTGGTTTTAAGTCTCTGACCAAATACCATGAAACACAAAGCACATAAAAATATAACACTATCAGGGTCTTTCTGCAAGGCTGAGATGGAGGGCTCCTCACAGGGGCGGAGGGGGATAAGCCTTCCCTTCATTCCAGAGTTTTGACTTGTGACCTTTTCAAATGTGTGATTGAAAGAATTTACATCTGCTCTAGACATGGTTCTTGTACTGAGAAATTCATAGCAGGATGTCTCTTGGATAGTTGAGAGGAAAATGTTGACTTAGACACAGAATGAGGTTGTAAGAACCTCAGCTCCTTATTTCCCCTCCGCCGTCCCATCTCATACTCCAGCTAAACCCTCATAAAAAGTGAACAACTCCTCTCCCAGGAGTGGCATCTGTCCCCAAGGGTGCAGTTTGCCTAGGAAGTCATTCCTGAACCTGCCTTGATTGGCAGGGGTGGGCGCCTTTTGGTTATTTGAGTAGGTTCACTCCTGTTGGAGTGTGTCTCTCACCAGGGATGAAATCCCTCCCCTAGGACAATTTTAAGTCTCCCTTACAGGGCTGAGCGCCCTCTGGAAGCCAATTATTTGGATTACTGGGTGTCAGGGACTTGTGCCAAGTACTTTTCAAATATCACTCTTAATCCCCAGAGCAACCGTATGCAGAGGGTGCTCTCTATATTTCTCAGGTGAAGAATCTGAGGTTTAGCAGGTGTTGTTCGCCCCAAGTTTGCACAGTTATGAATGGCAGAGAGAGGTGGGTCCCAAGTCTGAGGCTGCTGCCCTTAACCGCCAAGAGGGAAATTGTAGGGTAAAGGGGGTGTTGGACCCCACCCAGGCAGCAAGCACATCCTGAAGCCAGGGGAGCAGGACCATGGGTTTTTTAAACTGTCTCCAGACAGTTGATGTGGCAACCTGGAGAGAAGGGACAAGGGTCTGGCACCAGCTTGCTCCCAGATGGGTCTCAGGCTCCATTTCCATATTTGTGAAGGTGGGACCTGAGTGACACCTCAAACAGTGTGAGTATCAAATTTGATGACCTTCTATAGTCTGGGCCCCGGCTGAGTTTAGTGACAAAAGGGCTTGGCACATTTCCAGTGGCCCTTAGTTGAAGGGGAAATAAGAATGTTTTCTCAGAAAACGAGGCCCTTTGTGACAGCCTAAAGAAAACTAAGCAGGTGCATGGCTAGAGAGATTGTGTCTCCAGGGAGGACCCTGAAATCCTTTATATTTATCCTGGCTTTCCAGGAAACATTCCCCAAACAGAAGGGCATGGTCTGGAAGGCCGTCATCTGGAGCTTTTTTTTTCTCCCATGATGGCCTGAAGCTATTTTCAGAATGCCTGGGTTATTTTCCAGCTCTGGGGAAGGTGACTTCTAATTCCACAGAAGGAGAAACCCAACCTCCTCCCTACCCTTCCCCCCTCCAGCCATTTCTAAGAGCAAAGAAAGCCCAGTTTTCCATTTTAATTATTTTATTTTATTAAAAAACCAAGACAATAATAACTTTAAAGAGTCACATACACAGTATAAACACCTGGATAAGGTTTTGTTCATGTCCATGTTGACACTGGAACTACTGTTAAAGTGCAAGTTTTGTTTTGTTTTTCCTCTTTGCGGTTTCACACACACACTTAAACAAGTCACTTGGCTATGATTTGACCCACAGCTCCGTTAGTTTCTGGAGGGCAAAGGCTTTTGCCAATTGTCATGGCAACCCAGAAACAGAGAGAAGATAATGCCCCCTTGGTCCTGACCCTCAAGCCTGCAGGATAGCTTCTTGAAGCCTAACAGAGGCTGATTAACTTCACACCTCCCCCTCCCCACGCTATTCCTAGGTCTTTGTGAGAAACAAGACAAATCCACCCTCTGCTGGACCCTTGCCCCGCAAGTCTTGGGGGTGGTGGGCGCCGATGGGGAAATCGGGGGAGGGGGGCGTCCCAGTCTTAGCCAGTTCTCTTTCCTTCCAGAGCAGATGACTGTCCCTTCTCGGTTTGGTGGCGCCTCCCCAGTGCGCGAGGCCGGGTCGCGGGGAGCGAAGACGCCAGTCCGCGCGCGCGCGCTCGTGGCCCGGGGCCACGGGGCCGACCAGGGCGTCGGATTTGACTTTTAAACAAAAAGGTCCTCAAGTTGTGTCGCCAGCGCGGAGGGGGCTCCTAGCTGATGACGCAGCGCTCCTTGTCCTTGGGCTGGCCGCCTCCGCTGGCCTTCTCGCGGATGTACATGAGGTCGCTGTGTACGCTGGGTCTGCGCGCGAAGGGCGCCACGATGCCGAAGGCGTCGCCCAGGTCGCCGCCGCCGCTGCCGGCCCGCAGCAGCTTCTTGTTCCGCAGCGCCTTCTTGTGCAGCACGTCGCAGTACTGCACTGACACCTTGCGGTGCAGGTCCGGGCTCATCTCGCTCGGCAACTTGGCCATGGCGAAGAGCGCGCGGAACATCTGGTCCAGGCTGCTGTTCTTCTTGGCCGAGATCTCGAAGTAGGCGCAGCGCTGGGGGTCGTCGCCCACCAGCTGCTCGATCTCGCGCTGCTCCACCTCGCGGTAGAAATCCCGGTCACCCTTGTTGCCGCAGATGACCAGGGGCACGTCCACGTTCTCCTTGGTTTTGTTCTTGAGGCAGGACTTGGTGTCAAGGATCTGTTGCTTGAGCCTCTGCACCTCCTCGAAGGAGTCGCGGTTGTCCAGGCTGAACACCAGGATGAAAACGTCTCCTGCGGAGGCACAGAGAACAGAAAAGAGAAGGTGAGGGCAGCTGCCAAGGGGGACACCCACGTCGGGCTGACTTTGGGGCTGCCAGCGGGTGGGGCGCGCTGGCCTCTCCAAGCGCAAAGCCCAGCGCGCCGCGGCGGGACCGGCCCTCGCCGGGTGCCCCTGGACAAAGGGTGCCCGCCCCTCCGCCCGGCCCCCGGCTCACCTGTGAGGATGGAGAGGCGCCGCATGGCGGGGAACGGGTGGTTGCCGGACGTGTCGAGGATGTCGAGCTGGTAGACCTCGCCGCGGATGGAGTAGAACTTGCGGTGGAAGTCCTCGATGGTGGGCGTGTAGGCGTCCTCGAAGCGGCCGGTGAGGAAGCGCGACACGATGGCCGTCTTGCCCACCTTGGACGAGCCGAGGATGACCATGCGGTAGCAGTTCTTGGCCGGGATGGTCAGCTCCGAGTCGCTCGGGCACATCTTCTTGATCATCGCGGCCAGTTTCATTGGGAGGAGAGGCCGCGGGGGCGGGCGCGGAGCCGAGAGAAGCGCGGAGGGCGGCCGGGGGGCGCAGGAGAGCGGCCGGAGGGCTCTGCCCAGGCTCAGGTCGGCTCCGGCTCGGGATTGGGCTCCGGCTCGAGTCGTGATCAGGACAGGGTCCGCTCGCTCTGGCTCTCCGCGCCTCGCCGCCGCCCTTATATGCAGCCGTCTGGCCGCCCCGCCCCGCTCCCTCCCATACTCGGTGCGTCACGCCCCGCGGGCGCCCGCCGCTGCCCCCTCGCGCCTCGCGACGGCCGCTGGCAGGTGCACAGCTGCTGCCCTGAGGACGGGCAGGAAACTGAGTCCAGGGTGCAGCCGGGGCGCTCTTCCACTGCACCCGGCTCAATGGCCGCAGGGCCTCGGGGTTCTGGTCCTGGCTGTGCCTCCTATCCTCTGTGACTTGGGGCAAAGTCCCTCGTCCCCGCAACAACACAAACACGTCCACTCACTATTTTTGGGCTTCAGTTTCCCCAGAGAATAACAGTAGTAATCCAGTAATGGCTGCAGCGTTTGCTGGGTGCTCGCGCCTACTGTGTCTCTTTCAGTCCTCACGACAGAGCCCCCAGCGCCAGCCCCCCACCCCCTGCACCCCTGC